AGAGAGAGAGAGAGAGAGAGAGAGAGAGAGAGAGAGAGTCAAAATAAAAAAATAATTTAAATCATGATTATTTACTCACGTATACGAGATAACAGAGATAAACGACAAATGTTAGGAAATATTTGTATTTTATTGACATTACGTTTGAGTTATTCTCTGTAGCCATGAATGAGATATTTTGTTTGTACAACACTTTATGTGATTTAATACAATTGATTTGCAAAATGTTATTATTATATTTTAGTTATCAAATAATAATTTTTAAATCACACTTTTGTGACCAAAATTTTCCTACAAATAATAGACACACAAAAAAGGTGTCATAAAATTGTCTCAATTCGTATAAAGAATTTACAACTCATTAATATTAATAATAAATATACTAATAATGACATTATTTTACACAATTTCAGTTTCATCTTCATTATTGAGTTAATTAATTGTATTTACCTTTACTTTGAAAACCTCACTATTCATGTCAACTCATCACTGGTAGACATAATACTTACATAATATCCATATATTTTATTTTATGTCTACTTCTTCTGCAAACAACACAACAAATTTCAAATTTCATTGTCTTATGTATGGAAACAAAAGTCTAGTTTTTGATAATGTAATGTTATATCTATTTATTGATTTTCATTAATTTTTCAGATAAAATATTTTTAATTTTTATAAATGACTTTCAAATTCATCGATCATTAAATTTTTTCAAAGGGTCTAAAACTTTTAATCAATATTTAATATAAAAGGCAAAGGTTTTTACACCCAACTAATAAATACAGGAAAAATAAAGACATATAAATAGAGGTATTAATATAAAGTACATATGTATATATTTAATAATTTCTAATATGATTTAAATGTCAAATCAGTTCCCACTCAATATAAATATAATTAAAATCAAAACATATGAAATATTGCTTTCATTAACCAATTTTTCTAACAATTTTTGTTACGTTATTATTAATAATATATTGTGGGCTAAAAATAGGGCACAAACTTTTCAATCAGAAATGTATTTTTTCGCAATGTTTTCCGCAATTAAATCCATTTTTATACATAAAATATACAGTTAATGAACTAATAATGTAAAACTAAGACCTAATACCTAATTATACCTAATTATGAAATCTGTGTTTGTTTTTTGTGCGAAATATTTTAATGAATAATATTTCACCTTAATTAGTATATCGTATAATCAATTCATTAGTATAAAAACCCTAATGATATTTGTGGTCATTTTCATGTCGGCCATTATCTCTGTGTCCATACAGTCGGACGAGTCTGTCATACACAGCATAAGACCTATTCTTCTGGACTCAATCATAAACACCAAACACCGAGTGTTTAGTCCCAAAAGCCGACAACCGTTGACCGCTTTGGACGCGATTGTGAGACAACCAAACCATGAATACGACTCCGTCTGTGAGTTAATAATGTTTTTTTGTAAAACTTTTAATTTTTATCACAATTATAATTGATTTCAAGTCTTTCCCAACACAACGCTCACCACAACCACTGCGGTGGACAACCTCTGGTGTACGGATAGCTCGGCCCTCAGCTCTATATTACGGTACAGGGCGTACGAGGAGAGCATCCCATGCACTGGCATTGTGTTTGATTACTCGCCGCAAACATTTAACATCACTTTCCGCCAGTGTTTGAACAGAAATAATCCCAAATGTCTGAAACTGTTGACAATTAATCCGCAGACATATCAACTATTCCTCGAGGGTATCGCTGAGACAATTAAACAAATAAAAGCACATTCAATACTAATAGAGTGTTTATTAAATAGGCTTTTTGTTGGTCATATCGTACGCCCAGATAACGGACCCGTTATGTGCCGACACTTTCTATCTATTAGTGCAATTGTATGCGCCGTCCGGGGGCTCGACGTGCGGCACACCCTTCGGTCTGACCGGCAAACAGTCCGTATGGTATTGGATAGACATATACGGAGGGCCCTGTCGTTCGCAGTGTTATGGCCACAGTTTCCTATATCATAATCCCGGCGTTCAATATAATTATGTTTAATATGTCGTAAATGAATGTAGATTTAAATATAATATTCATTTGTGAGATAAAACAAAAAGGTGGAAAATAAAACAATTATAATTACAGTAATTTAAACTGAATATTTAACTAGGTATTTAGTTAGTGTGCTGTACACTACAATCGCTATCAATTAGATGTTACACTACTTGAAAGATATATACAGTTAAATGTAATTAAAAAATAAAATACAGAGTACTTAATGTAATGAAAGTTTTAAATAAAAAATATTAATTTATAGTTTAATTGTGTGGTTTTGTTATTTATTTGTAAAATAATTAATGATATTGTTATTAATTATTCGTTGAAATCTAACCATAAATTATTTGTTAAAACTACAAAAATAAGTGCAAATAATTTGTTAATTCCGACAAAACTGCCACTTTTGAACACTTGGTTTGAATACATAGTGCTATTTAAAAGTTACATTTTTATAAACTTATTTAATAATTTAAGTAAAGTTTAATTACATGACTTTGAGCATTATTAAAAAGTAGGTTTAATTATTATGTCGTTAATATATTTAGTAATTTTTATGTTTTTGTATTTTTATTGCAAAAGTTTGAATGAAAACAATGTATTTATGTGTTTTTCTGAATGATTTTATGATTAAATCTATTTATAATAACTGTTTTTCAATATTGAAAATATTTTTGTTAAAGAAATTATATGAGGATCAGTAGTTTTCAAAGGCTTAACCTATGTTATTAAATATATACTATTATTATTTATTTATTTTTACACTATACAAAAAGAGATAAATAAATAATTTGTAAAAAAAGTTGTGTAAATAAAAAGCGATAAATAAAAATTTAATTTTAAACTAAAATATAGTTTTAATTTATATTATAACCTTTATATACCTTCAGTAAACATCAATTTATTTGCACTATATTTGAAAAGAGTTGAATAAGTTGTATAAATAATATTAAATAATAAAATGCGATAGACTTTCATAGAAATATTGTATTTTTTAATGAAATAAAAAATTGTTTAAAGTTTATTTTACACTACAAATCATCACTAGTTTATAAACAATTTACAATAACAATACGGTAATTGAGTTATTATATTATAAATAATACTTTATATCATATGAAGTTTGTCCCACTCTTTCAGAAATTAAATAAATATATTAATTATAATTTCATTTATAAATTAATTATTTTAATAACACATCATTAGATTATTTTTATTTAAATCAAAACATATTTTTGTCAAAAAATAAATATAATTTAAACCAAAATTTAATTAATTCGGGGAAGGTTATAATTTTGGACCAAGCTCCATTATTAACACTAATTGTTTATATTTTATTTAATATTACATTTTATACTAGATATTAATATAACAATATATTTATTTACAATACTATCGATGATATCTTACTGGAAATCAATATCAAACAAAACATGTATTTCAATAATACAACAGTTTATAAATCCGATTCCGGCTCTTCGGACACAAACACACAAATTGTATGAACAAATCAAATGTTTGTCACATTTTAATTAATAAATATATTAAAAATCACAATATTCTGGTGAAAAAGCCACCGATTTTTAACGTTGTATTCATGGCTCGCGAACAACATCTGCCCCTTTGATTGAGAGGGTAGAGAAAGGGATAACACATTTGTTGATTTGATTTACACATTAATAATCGCGTTATGCGTCCAAATCTAAAGCCAATTTATTTTTACCACTATTATTGTGAGTTGTGTTGAGCTTAACGGCGCCGGCACTGCATTCAGTGACACAATTTTGGCCGCGATTTGCATTTCCATTATCAAACTGTTCGCACGAATCGCTCACTTTATTACATGGCTTACAATTAGGCGTGTGATGGTTGACACCGACAACAACAACAACACCGGTGGCATCGCTGCCATCCCTATCCATACCAACCACGCCATCCATACCCACACTATTCATGTCATTCAAATCACTATTATTATTGTTATTCAAATTATTGTCAATCGTATGCATTGAATCGTCAGACAGTAGAGTCTCGTCGCTTAATATACAATCATTGTTGGCTATAATCTCACAGTTAGTGTCGGTATTACTATTGTTATTATCATTATCACAACCGCCGGCGCTACTAATCACAGCAGACGTATCGCCGGTGTGTGGGCTGTCTGTCAGCGGTTGTTTCAGCGGCTGATCCTCTCCATCATCGGCGGTGTTATTCGCGTCATTATGACTGGCGCTGGGCTTGTCGTCAATATCGGTGGACACGTCGTCGCCACTACTGGTCACACTGTTGTCGATCATTAGCCGCGATGTGCTGCCATTGGTGGGCACCTGGAGGTAGTTGGCCGACAGGGAACACTTCATGGAGCGCCGATTGTCGGCCAGATATGGCGTTAGGCTACCGGTGCTGAGTCGGCCCGCGTTAATGAATTGGTTCGAGTGGTATATCTTCTGACGCGGGGATGACATCCGGCGGGAGCTGTCGTTGAAGTGGAACCGGATGTTGAGCTCGTTGTCGGAGAACTTGTGTCCGTTATGGTTATGATTGGCTACTTGTGTGTAAAATGTGCGCTGATATCCACCGCTTTGATGGGTCAAGAATTTGCCTTTAAATGAAGGGATAATTATATTAATGACATTTTTTAGTACACATTCTTGCGTTAAATTCTTGTAATTGATGTTTACTTTGATACTTTTTATTTTTTATTATTGATATTATAGTGAAATCCAATTGCAAAACACTTTGAAATTGATATTTATTCTTATTTTTTGTTTAGTAAACAAAATCTCAATTCTTGAGATATTCTTGAGTTATATTTAGCACAGAATCGGAGAATTTATATGAATTTTATTCACAAAAAAATGTTTATTAGCGGAGAATTCATGAAATTTATACTAATTATATGATAGTATCATTAGTCTCACCATAAATTCAAGGTTTGCTTTGTAAACATCTATTATTACATTTAATTAATTGACTATAAATAACCAAATTAAAAACCATATTCAATTAAAATACTCTATTATCATATCTATAATACTTAAGACTTTATTACCACTATTATTGATACTATAAAACCATTGAGTGTTTTTAATAATGTTTAACATAATAAAAGCTCTCTATTTGATCGCCTATTTATATGTTTAATGTTAATCCAACACAAAATAGTGAGACATAAAGATCTTATCGCAAAAATTTACGGATAAAAATAGCTGACATTTTTTACATTAAGACTCCCATAGAGTGTATGTCATATAGAGAGTAGTTTTCCTACATCTCAAGTGTATATATAAATAGTAACCAAAATATATAATATAAATCTCACAACAAGTGTATTAACAGAGATTACCCAACAATAACACAATACCAGAAATAGATTAACCAAAAAAAGTAAATACAATCGCATCAAAAACAACGACAAAAACAAAATCAGTTGCAAAAGTAATGAACAAAAAAGACAGCAAAAACACAAAAACAAGTAAATTAAAGGATAAATAAAAAACAATTATATAAAATAGCAAAACAAAAGACAATTGTCTTACTCTTAAGACACGGACAGAAGATGGCGAGGAAAGTGCGGCGATATTTTTGGCTGAGCAGACAGTAGAGTACGAAATTGCCGGTCGCGTTGATGGCCAACAGGAAGTTGAATATATTGCCCAAACCTCTCATCAAACACCCGGTGTTTGTCTCCTCCGCCTCCACGTTGTAGAAGACTGAGTATATGAGTACCGATGCGGTCGGCAGTTGACACATGAGGAATAGGATGACCACCGCTATCAACATTATGGTGATCCGCGACTCCTGTTTCGTCGTCGGATCCATTTTGGCCGACGCCTCGCCTGTAAATCAAGATTAGTTTTGTTAATCATTTGATTTAAATACTAATGTACTGTACGTGCATTTCTAAAGCAGCTTTATATAGCAACTTATAATATTATGCTAAAATTTTATATTAAGGTATTTTACAGGAAATTAAATTAAATTTGTACCCAGAAGTAATGTACTGTACATGTATTGAGTACTAGACTTATATTCGTTTCTAGACCTACATCGTATAATGTATACATCGGACATAACAAACTATGTAATAATTTAAGAAATTCAGAATATCTTTAATTAATAAACAATTAAATAAAACAAATTGTTTGAATATTTGAGAGACAAATAATTTGTAGGAATGAGATATAATGTACATATGATTTGTATTGTGAATACCAAATGAGATTTTAATTAAGATAATTGCGAGACTATATAAATGACTGGAGACTTAATATTTAAATGGATATATAATTCAGTCGACAAAATGGCAAAAACATTAATTAATTAAATTGATGTTTAACTACAAATTCATCGCTAAATTAAATGTTGTAATTTTGTTGCGAAACACAATTGATTTAATTTTCATTTATACATACTTTATATTAGTTTATCTGAATATCAATAAAGAGTTGTTTGATTTTTTGATACTTCTATGTGAAAATTGTCCAGAATTGCGGCTAGAATTCTAACGATAAATATTTAATTATTGTTTTAGGAAAATAAAATAAAATTTTCCATCTCAATAAATTATATATTTGGTTTGCATAGACCCATAAAAATACAATAATAAAAGTGGTTAAAGTTATACAATGCAAGCATTGTGTCCTTTGAGGCGTTTATAGTTTTGTATTATTTTAATTAAAATTTTATTTATTGATTTTAACATATAATGGTATTCAAATTTATTCAAAATCATAAACAAAATAATAACAATATTGAAAGACATGTTATAAATCATTTAAACGTATCATTTATAACACACTGTAAGTCGTTTATAATTGAATTCATGTATTGATTATTTAAATGTATTATTTAATAATCAATTTTATAAATACGTGAATCAATTTATCAACATTTTTGATTTTATTTTTCGCACATTAAAGAAAGTAAAACTTATTTATACTGTAATAAACACATTCACTTAATGGGCAAGTTTACCAAGAATTAAATTTATATAAAATTATCCCTAATATTCATTAACTTATATTAATGTATTCATGTAACTATATTTTCATTATAACTCTACAAATATATAAATTTTAACTATAATTAATAATTATATCTTATATTTTCTGTTGAATGTTATTCTCAATGCATATTATAATGAAAACACAACAAATAAATAGGCAAATATATTGTATTTAATGGATATAATTCTTGAATCTCTTTATACATCACTTGCAATAATATTGTTTGTAATAATTTGTTTAAAAATAAAAAACAAATTAATATTCAGCGAACAAATGAACAAACAATTCAATAATTTATTAGTTTTTATATTATTTCTTGTTTTCTCTTATATTTTTCTCTCAAAATCTTTTTATTATTATTAGAGAAAATTTGGTAAAAATTCAATGTTTTTTCAAATTGAATGCATTTCTTTTATTGAGCTATTTTTTTGTTGTTTTATTTTTTAGTTTGTGTTTTATTATTTTTTGTCATGATAATTTTTGTTGGAAAATTCCTAACAACTTAAATAGGTTTATGGGAAATATCTTATTTGTTTTATTTGATGTTTAAATATACTAGATTTAACTAGATTGGCTAACAATTCAGTTGTTTATTTAAACTAATATTTAAATTTAATATTTAAATTATATTTCATTATTTTCATTGTGTTTGAAATATTTCAACTTAATTTTATAATTGCAGTATAAAATAATTAAAGTACATCAAGTCAATCATTACATTAATTTAATATTATATAACTAATTATTTATTTAATGTTATTCATACTAAATGTAAGGTGGACAAATACCTTTTTAACAAATAAACACGTTCATTATAACTAATTAGTTAATAGTAAATTATAACGGTTAATTAATCATTTAGACTAATTCAAAAAATAAAGTGTAATTATTATAATAAAATATAAAAATGAAACGAACACACAATTAAACCAGCAAACTGGCATATAAACAATCTACGGTATATAAATTTACATGTACAGTAAATGAAAGCATACGTGGTAAAAATGAGACATACCCTGGATCATTGTGTTGCGCTGTTTGCGGGACACGTGAACGGATCGTATGAGAAAGGCGTTGAAAATGGCGAGCGATAGGAATGGTATTAACGCGAAGAGCAATACATTGAGGTAGTAATAGACGGTGCGGTAGAGATCGTTTTGGCCCAACTCGCTGAAGATGGCCTGAAGGTAGACCCTTCCCGTCTCAGTCGAGTTCTTCTCCACCACAACCCACTCGAAAGGTGTCGGAAGAGTGAATGTAAAGCATATGAGAAATACGCACAGAATTACACGTTTGGCACGACTTTCCGTACACAACACCTTCCCTCTGATCGGATGGCAGACCGCTATATATCTGTATTCACAACAATTGTATTATTCGTTTTGATTTCATATATGGTTTGAAATTTGAGGTATTTATGGAGAATTGGGTTTTGATGTGAATTTAAATTGTTTTTTTGTAATTTTTTGTTTATAATTAACTAATTTATTACAGTTTTTTTGTTATTTTGTAAATTGTTTGTAATTTATATTTTCTCAAAAGTTCTCATATGTCTACCGATTTTGTGTTTATAATTAAAAGTAATGGATTATAATAACTATTAGTTAAATAATAATTATCTAACGAAAACTGCGGGTAATAATCGTAATAGGAGATGATAACTGCATAAGCTTGTTTACAGTGAACATGGCCAAATTGGCTAATTTACACTTGACATTGAAAATTTCACTTTTATAAACACATAGTTTCGCATCAATTCATAAAATCTTTATTTGTCTCAAAACTATCATCAGTTGATGACATGATGTACTCCTTCTGTCATATAAAGCACTACATATACACCAAAACAACCATATATTTAATACTCTCATTGGATTATGAATTATGATTGCGATATAAATTGTCTATATTTATCACACGCTGTAGTAATTCCTATGAAATTGTTTTAATTAACTATTTTTGGGTCCAAACTTATATTCATTAATTTTTGTTTCTTGGTATTAATACAAAAATAAAATTTCCTAATCATTCTCTGATCTATATTTTCATTAAAACTGGCACTTCATTTGATACAAACATTTACCCATTGATATAATGTATGGTTTGGGGAGTTGTGTGTTAGAGAGAGGGAGAGAGAGAGAGAGAGAGAGAATCATTAATTATTAATGACGGGTCAGTTGTGTGCTGAGCGGCGAGTTACATCGAGGTAGATACAAAAATGGCATCAATTAATTGACGTATAAATAATTGGCAACAATTTTACCAAGAATTTGTTAAACATAGAAATGCTGGTAAAGAGTGGGGAGAAAGAGGGGGAGAGAGAGACTAAATGTGGTGTTTGTTAGCCATTCAAATGACACATTTGGCAATTTGTGTGCCGATAAATTCAGTGATGATTATTTAATTACATAACAAATACAATGACAAACAAAAGAGACAGAGAGTGTGGCCTACCGTTCAATAGTGAAGGTGACGGTCAGCCATATACTAGTGTTGGACGAGGCGTCGGCTATCATGATAGCGAACGGCCAGAAATACCAATAGTAATAGTACTGAACGTCTTTGATGTTGGGATAGGCGCTGAGCGACAGGTAGAATATGAAGATGAGATACAACATGTCAAACGTGGCCAAAGCGGCCAGATATGAGTTGGTGGACGAGCGCATTTTGCGCCGGGTCATTATCACGATGGTTATGCTGTTGCCTATGACGCCGATGATCATGATGATTGGCACCAACACTCGTTGCACCCAAAATCGCGAGTTATTTCTATGTAAAAAATGTGTTGAAATTATTAATTTTTTTGTCGGTATTAAATGTCTGTTAAATACACTTTTGTTTTAATGACATGAAGAGCGACAGGTTTTTTGTTTTATTTGTTTTTTATAATACATTTCAATGTTAAGCGAGTATTTCAAGCGCTTTAAGGATTTATAACTTTTATGTTTTTTCATAAATAGTTTATTTTTGTTTTGCAAAGAGTTAGTGAGAAGTGTTATAGGAATTTAAATCCATAGGCAAAACATAATCCATACGTTTTAAACGTTGGGATTTAAATGTATTTTACAATTTATTTATAATATAACGTTAATATATATTTAAATAACAATATGTTAGTCGTCTCTAAGCAGTTGTCGCTTTTATTTATGTCTTTTAATGTAAACTACATTTTAAATGGAAAAGCGATCGTTAAATAATATATTTTGCTCTAAAATACTATATATAATAGGTGTTTTAAATATGAATTTAGTTTAATATTAAAATAATGTCTGATTTATGTATTATGTATTTACATTTGAGTTATGCTAATATATGCCCGAATGTAAGTGAATACAGAATTTTCTACAAAATTCTGTGCATTAAAGTATAATTTGTCAAAAAATGAGAGAGAGAGAGAGAGAGAGAATTATAAAATCCACTTTTATTATATAAGAAATAAATCACAATTCCTTTACATTTATTTCCTGACGACAAAAGGGATTAAAGAGAGTGAAGAAAGAAAGAGAGAGAGAGAGAGAGAGAGAGAGAGATCGGTAGCAACAAAACTCAAAATTTTATATTATATTAACTCTTTAACTAAATTGTATTCATATCACAAAATAATATGTATTTTTACTGCAATTAATTTTAAATAATATCTCCAAAAGTGACAGAAAGTTGTGTATTATTTCTCTAAAGTAATATTATTTTAAAATTTTATTTATTATTATTTTTGATAAAAATTAACAAAACACTACACTACGACAAAAATAATTGCATTTAAGTATCCATAAGTTATAATCCATAATGTAGACTAGATTGTAATTAATTTTCTAAAACAATATAATAAATAATTTATAATAAATATTGAATCGATTTAACGATTACGATAGAAATGACAATAAAAATGACATATAATTGATGATCAATACCTGAATTCAATGTATTCCGGATCACAGCTAAGGTTGGGTGAGATCTGTTGAGAGGGATATTCAGTTATATTCAATTCCATTGTATTGTCATTTAAAGCCGACGAAATGGTCGTAAAATTCAAATAATGATTACTAAACGTATCCATAGTTTAGTTTGTTTTTTATTTTTGATGGCAAGAGATTCACAATACTTTTTGCTCTGGTATTAACCTTTAAAGCAAGCAAAATGTTGTCATATGTATAGCTTATGCCTTGTCGTTTACACAAAATATTTTTCAATTGTATTCATCAGTGTTTTTCAGGATACAAATATGGGAAAAATTATACACATTTTTTACAGTTAACACGTTTAACAATTCACTAGATTTTTCACTATTTTGACAAAACGGCGATTGTTTTAATATAACTGTTATTATTATTATTAGATTTTATTATGAATGTTGTATTGTTTTACTGGGGAATTGAAAATTCCGGCATAACTTTAACGTTTGGTTTGGAGGCATCTGTAGCTTATTGTTCATGAATTTAAATTCATTGCTTTTTGATTCAATTTCTATAACAATAGTTGAGTTATAATTTCTATATATATTCCGGAATATTCTGTGTAATCCAATAATAATCCAATATATAAATAGCGCACAGTTTAATATATTCTTGTCCACTTCAATGGATCTGGCTAATCAAAAAAATAAAGTAATAAATTATTAATTAAGTTTTATTACATTATTATTTAATTAAAGTTTTAATACGAAATAATTATACACAAAATAAACACACATTTGACACTTTCTTTTAATAATTTAAGACTTGCTTTAAGTCAAACACAAAGTCATATGAAAGAGTGGGAGAGAAAGGGGGAGAGAGAGAGACGAAGAGTGAGAGTGAGTGAGAAGTTTTTAAATGAAAATAATTTATTTGAAGAGCAAGTGTTCAGTAAAGAGAGTGAAGAAAGAAAGAGTGAGAGAAAGTGTTTATAAATATCTTTTATAACAGTTTAAGAGAGAAATGAGAGTTAAAAAGACGGCAAGAATTAGAGGCAGGAATACGTTGGGAGAGAATATCAAAACAAATACTCTTAATATATATAAGTATACAAAGAGTCGGATGAGAGAAAGAGAGAGAGAGAGAGAGAGAGAGTCGGAGGAATTTACTTGTGTGTGAAAACTCAGTCAAAGCTAATATCAAAATAATTTTCAAGTCGACAGAGACTTATTGTGTTTCATAGCCTGAGGTGAATGCCATTATATGATTGTGCACTACAGCCATCACATTACACGGCACTCAAAATTATGCTCACATAGAAAAGCATTACGGTTTAAACACCCTATACCAAGGGCGCCGGTGTATCCGTTGCGCGCATATATACACAGCATTTACATTCAATTCTGTGAGTGAGTAGGGAGGGAGAGAGAGAGAGAGAGAGAGAGAGAGAGACTAGTATTGTACGGTATGTGAGACAAGTTATACGCTATAAACACATACAGAATATTCTTGATGTCATCGAGACTTAAAGAAAATATTATTCGCACTTATATTTTGTTATATACAGTACTGTATATTCTGGCACAAAAAAAAGTTTCTACTTATCTTTTATTATTTTATTAATATAACTTTCACACAATATAGTAGTTTATAGTTTATTACACTTTTTCAATCAACTCGATGTAAAAATATTATTCGACAATATTTCTATGTATTCACTATCGAGTGCTTTTTGTCGAGTTTTATGGTTTGCTTTTTATATTATTTTTATGTATTATTTTTATTTTTTCGTTAAAATTGTTTAAGTTTTATGGCATATGAGAGAGAGAGAGAGAGAGAGAGAGACTGGACAATTGGTTGTAAATGAAATGAAACCATATTATGATCATTTTATTATTAAATTAATTTCTGTACGCGAAAGTCATGCGTTAATTATATAGTTTCAGTGTATCTATTTTAGCGTTGAATTAAATTTTGTTTCGTTTTTATTATTAGATTTTTTTCTCGTTTTTCTTCATTGAAAATATATTTAATTAAAGCATTCTTTGAGATAACTCTCTGTATATACTCTATGTATTCAACGAAAAGCTTCGGTATTTTGTCTCTTATATTAAAACTATTTTTGCTTTTGAAACAAATTTTTAGTTTTGTTTGTGATTTATTATTATTTACTTTCATTTATGTATTTAATGAATCGATTGTGAAAAATGTGATATAACTGAAAGAATTTAATATAATTCCCGATATGTTTTAGCCGTGTTTTTCTTATGTGTCTGTATTTTCTTATGAAATTCTTTAATCCCTTTTGTCGTCAGGAAATAAATGTAAAGGAATTGTGATTTATTTCTTATATAATAAAAGTGGATTTTATAATTCTCTCTCTCTCTCTCTCTCTCGCCGATGGAGTTGTTAATAAAAATAAAGCCTTTATTTATATTTATTTCACTGAATAATAGACTTTTCAAACATTTATATATTGTTATTGAATTGATGGTAATATCGTATATAAAAATATCTATTGATTACTGTATACAGTATTATATTGTTTTTTCAAAGAAAACTTCTATTAAACTATTTTACTAAAACAGATTATTTGAAAATGAGCAGGATTATTATTATTATTGCATTCCCAACTGCCCATAACTAAATGCATTTACCATATGTGTATGTGTTATATGTGCTGTAAAGTACAGTAAATAAAAACAATAGCATTCATATCCACTTAAATTCTTTTAATAATAAAAATAAATAAAATAAAACACATTTTAAACTTGCCTTTTGGCACTAAACACATATTTAAATATTTGTTTATATCCATATCCCAAAATAAATTCATATTACATTAAATAATGTTGGTAGAAGCACGGATTTATAATGTTTGAGTACTTAAGTTTGTGCTAGCTTATAAATAAAAATTGCTAATTCAATATTAATTAAAAGTGTAAGTAAACTAAATTGAATTAAATCAAAGTTCTGTATATTATTTTATTATACTTGAGGTTATTTGATTTTACAATTAATAAAATATACATTTATATTTTTAATTAATGGTAAATAAATTATTAATTTAAATTTTAACCAAAATGTTTAATCATTTTGATAAATTCAATTAATTTATATAAATTTTATTATTAATATAAATTTTATTATTAATATAAATCGGAAAACTTTTTCCATTAAAAGTGATTAATTTTGTTTGTTTCACAAAACATTAAATTTTTTTAAACCAACAAAAAGTTTACAATAAATTGTATAACAAAATACAGTATTATAATTTAAAATTATCCTTAATAAATTAGATTTATTTACGGTATTATTCTAACTTTAAATAATAATATATTCATTGTAACTTTATGTATAAAACTACTGTAAAACATCATTTAAACAAAATGTAATTTACATTTTTTGCATAATATATTTGTTTTGTTAGGCAATGTTTTATCATTATTGTTTTGTGACATCTCTCTCATCTTTGTTTTATGCAATTATTTTTGAAAATTATTGTTTTGCGGCTGTTTTTCATCTATGAATATAAATATGAAATATCATTAGATATAAAAACAGAAAAATAAAAACTATTGTGTAATCGATTCCTATTTATTATTAAAAGCATTGTATCCTAAAGGCTATCGAAACAAATAAATTTAATGCATTCATAGAGTAATCATTAGCCAAATGCTGTACATTATATAAGACGGACACAAATATTGATAATTTTACTCTTTTCTACCAAACATTTATTAGATTTATACAAATACTGGATACATGGACATTTGTACTCTAAACTTTAAGCAAACAACTTCGGTCATTTGCCACAAGTTGTTACAATAATGCCATTGTGAGTGTTGTATGAAAAGTGTCTACATGCTAAATATAGACATGGTCAAATAAATTGAAGTTACTGTACATATAATTGTATGTGATGTCTAGTGGTAAATATTTTTATCGGCTCACAAATTCAGTCACAAGTAATCATATTTTATTTATTGCACTCATTTTGTACATAAATTTTGATCGTTTTCGACATTGAATTTGCATATTATTAGGTTTTCGGAGAAGTTGTCATTATGTGAGTGATAGCTAAGGGTTTTAGTGGGTATCCATCTATTTGTGATGATATAAATGGTATTGGTCATACTGTTTACACATACTGTATACTGGGTATTATTCAATCCTACTAATAGTATCCAGGCTATAGTCAAATCAAATTGTGATTAAGTTTGCAATATGCTTGATTCACATATCGTGCTACAGTATAATTGTATCTACAGTATAATTGACATTTTTGTTGCAAGTTTTAGTCGGATATTACAATACAATACTAATTTTGTATTGAAAAATAGTACTTAAATATAGTATTACTTAATGTATGGCTTATACTATAGTCGCCGACATAACAGTCGGATATTATAAATACGACAATCAGTTTAAATATATCCGCCGAAAACTCCGATCAAATTTGTAGTGCAATTAGTTTTGTGTTGAAAATCTCAAAGCATTTTGATCTCGATTTCTATGTGATCTCACAATTCAATGAATTCCCAATAAATCTTGTGATAAGTAAAGCACAACAAAAATAAGAAATAAAAAACAAAACAAAAACGGGTTTTCAAATAATACTCATCGAAAAGATAGCGACAGATGAGAGAGATGTCACAAAACAATAATGAAAAAACATTGCCTAACAAAACAAATATATTATGCAAAAAATGTAAATTACATTTTGTTTAAATGATGTTTTACAGTAGTTTTAT